TGAAATCTCCTCTTTTCCAACAAAACCCCACCAAGCTGGGCTGGTCTTGTCTGCCGTGGCAGCCAGTGTTGTCTCACTGCTTCTCCCTGCTCCTCAGCCACCAGATTGTCCCATCTGCTGTCTCCTGCCTCCATGTGAAATTCTCAGCTCTGACACCAGAGCTGCATTTTCACGCTGCATTTTTGCAGCTCCCAGCAAAAGGTGATGGAGACTCCTGGGTGCTCCTGCAGGATGGCTCCAGATCCCTCTCACAGCTGCAGATGGCACACACAGATTGAGTCACTGAGCTCTGGAGTGGGCTGGGTGGGAAGGGACCTGAAGGATCATCCCATTCTGGGGACACCTTCCACCGTCCCAGGCTGCTCCAAGCCCTGTCCAGCCTGGCCTTGGACACTCCCAGAGATCCAGGGGCAGCCACAGCTTCTCTGAGCAGCTGTGCCAGGGCTGCACAGCCCTTTCCATGAAGGGATTTGCCCAATATTCAGCCTGAACCATTGGCACAACTTGAGGCCGTTGTCCCTCGTCCTGTCCCTGTCCCCTGGGAGCAGAGCCCAACCCCGCTGGCTGTCCCCTCCTGTCACAGAGCTGTGGGGTCTTCCAGATGTTCCCACATCTCCCTGACTCTCCAGTTCTCCTCACTACTCCTTCCTGGATCTCTCTTCTTGCTTCTCCTGGACCTTCTCCCGTGGCTTCCATCTTTCCTTACGTGACATGCCCCAAACTGGAGTGGCTCTTGTAAAGCCTCAGCCATCCCTTGTGCTACCAAACAGCTCCAGGTGCCTCTAACTGGTTTTCCAAACAGCTCCAGGTGCCTCTAACTGGTTTTCCAAACAGCTCCACGTGGCTCTAACTGGTTTTCCAAGCAGCTCCCTAGTGGCTCTAACTGGTTTTCCAAACAACTCCCAAGTGGCTCTAACTGATTTTTGCCAAACAACTCCCAAGTGGCTCTAACTGGTTTTCCAAGCAGCTCCCAAGTGGCTCTAACTGGTTTTCCAAGCAGCTGCAGGTGGCTCTAACTGGTTTTCCAAGCAGCTCCCAAGTGGCTCTAACTGGTTTCTCCCAAGTGGCTCTAACTGGTTTCTCCCAAGTGGCTCTAACTGGTTTCTCCCAAGTGGCTCTAACTGGTTTTCCAAGCAGCTCCAGGTGGCTCTAACTGGTTTCTGCCAAACAACTCCCAAGTGGCTCTAACTGGTTTCTCCCAAGCAGCTCCCAAGTGGCTCTAACTGGTTTTCCAAACAGCTCCAGGTGGCTCTAACTGGTTTCTCCCAAGTGGCTCTAACTGGTTTCTCCCAAGTGGCTCTAACTGGTTTCTCCCAAACAGCTCCAGGTGGCTCTGACTGGTTTTCCAAGCAGCCCAGGATGATGTTCTGAGGGTCGGAAGCAGTCTGGCTGAGCTGTTTAATATTCCCATTTTTCTGTCGCCGCTCTCTCGGTGGCAGCACAGCACCTCATTATTGTGGTGGGCATCTGCTGGCACTTGGCACCTCTAAAGGCTGAGGGTTTTAAGAGGTTTTAAAACATGCCAGTGATCCTGTTGAATTCCCAGCCTCCTCTGCCAGCCGCCTTCCTCCTTCCCTGGGTCCAGACCAACGCTGCCTTCTCATTCTCCTCCTGCTGATGGAGCCTTTTCTTCTTCTCCTTAATGATTCCTCCCTATTTCCATCTCAATTTGGCCTTTCTGATGTCTCCCCACGTGCTTATGCTCCCCTTGTAACTGTCCTTAGCAATCTGACCCAGTTCCCACCTCCCACCAACCTTTTCCTGGAGCCTGAGGTCAGTGAGGCGCTTGTGGTGCAGCCAGGCTGGTTCCTGCAGCGTTTCCTATTGGGATGCTCCTGTGTGTGCTGCTCACAGCGTTCCTCTGAAGTCCTGCCAGCTTCCTTTCCTCCTTTCACTGCTAAACCTGCCTCCCAGCAGATCCTGCCCGGTGGGAACCCAGGGCTTCCCTCTGGCTGCCCTGGGACCCTGGCAGGGGTCAGGAACCCCCCTGGACAGAGCCCCCAGAGACACTGGCTGTGATCTCTGCCCATGGAAAAGAGTTTTCAATCTTACAGGATGAATTACCAGCTCTGAATGTTTGATATCAGTAATAATTAAGTGTGACACGGGTGCAAAAGTAAAATTTTAGGATTCTAGATGAGGGGTTCAGAGGGGACAAGATGGAGGAAATTGGGTGTGTCTTGTCCTTTTCCTCCTTCTTCCTGCCCTCCATGTTTCACTGTGCTGTTGGCATTTTTCTGTTGGTTCGGGCTGGGGACACACTGTCCAACGTAGGTGACAGATATTGGCACGTTATTGTAAATCCAGCACAGGTAGTTTGTGGTATTTAATGTTTGTACCATCCCACTGAGGGCAGAGCCCCACACGCTGCCCTGCAGGACAGAGCTGCGGCAGGGCAGCAGAACATGTTAGAGATAAACAGAATAAACAACCTTGAAACAGCACAGATGAATTTTGGCTTCTGCTTTGGCAGTGGGGCTGACAGACAGAGACTTTTTATAATCTCAGAATCATCAATACCTCAGATTCCAACACTGCTTCCCTCTTCTGCAAACATCTCAGCATCCCTTGTCTTTATTTTTCCCTTTCCTCCCACACCTTTCCATGAGGGGTGTGAGTTTGGCCGCCCCACACTCAGCCTTGGCCCTTTTTCCTGCTGCCCTCGTGTTCCAAGGCAGTGTCTGGTGCTGGTGGCTGGCAGTGCCCGCTCTGTGCCCCTCCCAGTGGCACCAGTGTGGCAGCGCTGGCGTCAGCGGGCGCATGCCCAGCTCCTCATTCCCACACTGGGCATTTTACAGCCTGCTGAGTTAAGAGGATTTTGCTTTTCTCCTCTCTTTAAATCCAGCCCGGAGAGGGTTCAGCACTGGGACCGCTCCCCAGGCTGTGGGTGGTGGGTGATGGGGGTTTCCCAGCACTGAGCACTGGGATCCCACTGCACAAATCCCAGCAGGGAGCCAGCCCAGCCCTGCTGGGGACACCAGGATGTCCCCAGGGCTGTCCCAGGAGCTCCCCACAGTGACCTACAAGTCCCCTCCCACCCCTCTGGCTCACTGGGGAGCACCCCAGGGCTCACCACCCCACGCTCCTGCGCTGGGGTCAGCAGAGCAGCTCCCAGGGATGGTCCAGGAGGGTTTGGGAAGGTTCCTCAGGCCTGACCCTCCTTTCCCTGGGGGCTGGGACAGCCAGGGTGGGATCCATCCCACCACCGTGGCTGTGTGGGACTGGAGCCACCAGCGAGCAGAGCCAGACCGCGCTGTGGTGGAGGATGGGGACAGAAGCACCAGGCAGGGGAAGGGACACAAAAATTCCTCCAGGGGAAAGGGTGTGGAAAAAGACACACCCAATGAAGCAAGGAAACGTCCTCGGAGGTGCCTAGATGGGGACAAGGGACAGCATGGCACTGCCAGCTCCTGGCACCTCAGGGAGGAGTGGGACCCCGTTTGGTGGATCAGGACCCTGGGTGGTGAGCGGGACCCCGTTTGGTGGATCAGGACCCTGTTTGGTGGATCAGGACCCCGTTTGGTGGATGGGGACCCTGGGTGGTGGATGGGGACCCTGGGTGGTGAGCGGGACCCCGTTTGGTGGATCAGGACCCTGGGTGGTGAGTGGGACCCCGTTTGGTGGATCAGGACCCTGTTTGGTGGGTCAGGACCCTGTTTGGTGGGTCAGGACCCTGGGTGGTGAGTGGGACCCCGTTTGGTGGATCAGGACCCTGTTTGGTGGGTCAGGACCCTGTTTGGTGGGTCAGGACCCTGGGTGGTGAGTGGGACCCCGTTTGGTGGATCAGGACCCTGGGTGGTGAGCGGGACCCTGTTTGGTGGATGGGGACCCTGGGTGGTGAGTGGGACCCCGTTTGGTGGATGGGGACCCTGGGTGGTGAGTGGGACCCCGTTTGGTGGATGGGGACTCACCCCATGGATCCCCACTCCAGAGATTTTGTTGCAGCAGCCGGAGCCTGTCAAGGGAAGAAAAGGCTCCTTGTCTCGGGGTCGTGGCTCCGGCCCTGTTGTGTGTCTGCCCTGCTGCCCGTGTCAGCTCTGTGCCCATGCCAGCCCCGCTGCCCATGCCAGCCCCGCAGCCCGTGCCAGCCCCGCTGCCCACAATGGGCCCATCTCCCCTCCCAGCCAAGCAGCCAAGCATTGGAATTTAATAACTTTGGCCTCTCTGCATCCCCTGATTAGGTCTGTGATTAAAGCCCGTGTGTTGCTTTGCTTGCTGGGAGGCAAATTCCTCCACAGGGATGTGAAATCGGTGCTCCTCACCCGTGTCTGGGCAGGAACTGATGGGAGCACTTGGGTAACGCCAGCCATCCCCCTGAACCCCGGGCATGCCCCCGAACCCCATCCCCCCAAACCCCATCCTTCCAAACCCCATCCATCCCCCTGAACCCCATCCATCCCTCCAAACTCCATCCCCCAAACCCCATCCATCCCCCAAACCCCATCCATCCCCCCAAACCCCATCCATCCCCCAAACCCCATCCATCCCCCAAACCCCATCCATCCCCCAAACCTCATCCATCCCCCAAACCCCATCCATCCCTCCAAACCCCATCCATCCAAACCCCATCCATCCAAACCCCATCCATCCCCCAAACCCCATCCATCCCTCCAAACCCCATCCATCCCCCAAACCCCATCCATCCCCCAAACCCCATCCATCCCTCCAAACCCCATCCACCCCCCAAACCCCATACCCCCAAACCCCATCCATCCCTGCAAACCCCATCCATCCCCCAAACCCCATACCCCCAAACCCCATCCATCCCCCAAACCCCATCCATCCCCCAAACCCCATCCATCCCCCCAAACCCCGTCCATCCCTGCAAACTCCATCCATCCCCCCAAACCCCATCCATCCCCCCAAACCCCATCCATCCCCCCAAACCCCATCCATCCCCCAAACCCCATCCATCCCCCAAACCCCATCCATCCCCCCAAACCCCATCCCCCAAACCCCATCCATCCCCCAAACCCCATCCATCCCCCCAAACCCCATCCCCCAAACCCCATCCACCCAAACCTCGCTCCTCCCTCCTCTGGGAAGGGCAGAGGGGACGCTGCGAGCCCGGGCGGGGACAAACGGAGGCACGGCGAGGGACACCGAGCCCGGAGCCGGAGGGACTCGGGCTCACGGCCGGCTGGAGGGGCAGGAACGGACCGGAGCACACCGGGAAGGTGAGCAGGGTCCGAGGGAGCGGGAACAGCCCGGGGGAGTGATGAGCTCAGAGCGATGCCCCGGGGCAGGGGGACAGGGGACAGGGGGACAGGGGACAAACCCCGGCCCTAAACCTGCTGAAATCCTTAATCCCAGTAAGGGCCTGTAGCCCATGGGGTGAGCAGCTGCAGCTGAGGATGGCTCCTGAACCCGGTACTCCTCTGTGGGGCAGGACTCCTCTGTGGGGCAGGACTCACCCCTCTGTGGGGCAGGACTCCTCTGTGGGGCAGGACCCCTCTGTGGGGCAGGACTCACTCCTCTGTGGGGCAGGACTCACTCCTCTGTGGGGCAGGACTCCTCTGTGGGGCAGGACTCACTCCTCTGTGGGGCAGGACTCCTCTGTGGGGCAGGACCCCTCTGTGGGGCAGGACTGACTCCTCTGGAAGGGGTGGCACAGCCCCAACCCCGCTCGCAGCGCGACAGGGTGACAACAACGCTGCAGCCGTGGGGACAATCCTGAGGATTCCGCCCCGCTGAGCCGCGATCCCACCAGCGCTCCTCGGTTCTTCATCCCCCGAGGAAGAGGAGGATGAAGGATGCGGCGGTTCCCGGGCTGGGTGTGACCGGGAACGTCCCCGGGGGCTGCATCCCCGCCCCGGTGGGGACATCGATGGCTCCGTGTCACCTCTCCAGGGAACCCGCAGCGCTGGCACGTCCGTGAATCCCTCTCCAGAAGAAATTCCTGCTGGAAGCCGGAGGGAGCCGCGGCCGGAGGGTGTTGGGGGTCCCTGGGGGTCCCTGGGGAGAGGTCCTTGTGCCCTGCTCGATCCCAGGGATGGTGACAGAGCCGGCCTGACCTTCCCAGAGCCTCTGGGATGGTGGCACTGGTTCTTCTCCACACAGATGGAAACTGGGAGCTGGGGGTGATAACCCCGGGGCGTTGCACCCCAAATCCCACCAATATAACATCCTGGGCAGCTCCACGGAAGGAACCTGTTGGAGCAGCTGGGAGCTGTCACCCCGTGTGCAGCCACGTTGTTTGGGGTGACCTTATGGGGACAGGGATGGAGCAAACCCTGGGGCACCTCCACCAGACATCCTGAGGTGTCCCAGCTGTTCCCAGGCGTGTCCAGGGCCAGGATGTGCTGCCTCCTGGCCTGGCAGAGGCAGGAAGGTGCCTGGAGAGGGTGACAAGGTGGGGACCAGGCACCCACCACCCCTGGGTGATGCTCAGATGGGACCTGTGGAAGAATGGTCTGAATCGCTGTCAGGAGACATGGATGTCCACGTTGGGAAACTGCTGGCACCAGCAAGAGGCTTCACTTTAAAAAAAAAAAAGGTTTATTTATTTCAAGATCTTACTTTTTTTTTTTTTTTCCTCTCCTTTTTCATTGTTTTTACCTGTATTTCAAAAAAAGTGGGGCAAAAGTACAAAAAAAGTCAATTTGCGGGACGGCAAAAGATTTTAGAAATCACAAGCGAGAAACACGGAGCACGAACCAAACACCCCCACCACGACACGGCCCAATGATTATTGGAACTTTTTTTCTTTTCCTCGGTACAAAACACACCAAAGCATGCCACGGAGCGGGACGGGAGCGGGGCGGGGGCAGAGCGGCCCGGCGGGGGGAGCCTGGCCCGGCCCCGCCGCCCCGGCCCCGCCGCTCACGTCAGGTTGTTCTGGAGGCAGTTCGGTTCTGCCCCGTCCTGCTGCTCCCCTTTGCCGCCCTCGTGTTTGGGCGACGTGGAGTTGTGGATGTTGAACGGCTCCTCGTCCTTCAGGCAGGATTTCAGTGAGTCCTGCAGTTTGTGGGGAGCGTTGGGGTCGTCCTGCGGGACAGAGGGGGGTCAGGGCAGTGCTGGGGGCGAGGGTTCCCCTGTTCCCCTGTCCCCCTGACCCTTTGCAGAACCGCTGGATGGGACAATGTCCCCTCCCGGCTCAAACGGTGGCAGGAGGACCGCGGTGCTGTCCCAATCCCCCCGCGGTGACCCAGCACAGCCTCCCCACCCCGGGGTGCTGCGGTTCCCGGAGCACCCGGGAGCTGTGCCAGCCACGGGCACATCGCCCCCGGGCATCCCTCCCGGTTCGGCGCATCTCCCGGTCCCCGCCGCGATCAGGCACCGCCTGGCAGGAGCCCAGAGGGGTGGGTTGGTTTTATTGCGGTTCCTCAGGGTACAGCCGTGCCCCCGCCCCGATGCCCCGTGCCAGGGCCGGGCTGTGCCCGCGTCTGTCCCGCTCCCACGGGAGGAGCGGCACCGGCACCGGGCACTGCTGCGGTGGTTACGGTGCTCCCGGTGCCACCCCGAGAGCGGCAGACGGACGGGGACACCGAGGGCCGGTGTCACACAGGGACAGGATTCTCATCTCCCGGGTCGGTCCGGGCCGGTGCCACCGGCTGCAGGATCCCCAAAATCCCCTTTCCGCGGGTGCTGACCCCTCCTCATCCTCGGAGCGCTGCGTGCCTCCGGAGGGGTCGAGGGATGTGGCAGAGCCGCCGGGGAGCGGCACCGAGCTCATCCCGGGGTTCATCCTCTCGGTAACCGGGCGGGAACCGGCCCCGGAGCCTCCGGCCAGGGCGGGGCTGCTAAAGGCGCTCGGGAACCGGGGAGCAGCGGCAAGAAGGCTAAAGGGACCTACGCTCCTCCTTCCTCCGCTGAGCCCTTCGCTTCTCTCTGTCCGAGCCGAAAGCAGCGGGTTGGCAGAGCACCGGGGTGTGCCACCCTCTGCCACCGGGCTGTCCCCTCCCCTGCCACCCTCACACCGAGCCAGAGCCATCGGGAACTCGGGATGGTGCTCCCGAGGAGCCACACAGGCAGAGAGGGGACAGGGAAGGGACAGCGGGGTGACAGGGGGGTGACACTGCCCCCCTGCCCGGTCTAGGTCCGGTTTAGGTCATTGGGGACCCACCAGTGACAGTGAGGGGACAGAGATGTCACCGTGGCAGGATGGGCAGCACCGGGATCATGGAGGGTTCAGAGGTTATCAGACAGAGGGACAAGGATGGGACAGAAAGAGGGACACGGGGACGGTGCCACACAGCTCCTTACGTTTGGGTGGGAGCCCTCGGCGATGGTGGAGAGGGAGAAGTTGTCGTTGTGCAGCTCGGACGGGGTGCGGTATCTGTGGGGTCAGGAGAGCGGGGCTGAGAGCAGGACCCCCCCACACAGCCCCACACACGTTTTGGGGTGACCCTGGTTTTGGGGAGGGCAACTGTTCCCAGCGCTGGGGGTCTGGGGGGGTAAATGTCCCCAGAGATGGAAGTCTGGGCTAAACAGCCCCAGATCTACGGGATTTGGAGGGATACACCTTCCCTACTCTGGGGGTTTGGGGTTTTGTACCCCCAGCTCTGAGCATTTGGGGAGCTCAATGCCTCCAAGTCTGGGGGTTTTGGGGACTCAGTATACCCAGAGATGGAGGTCTAAGGGGTTAAATGTCCTGAACTCCGAAGGTTTGGGGGCTAAATATCCCCCGGGATTGAGCTGGGGCTAAACTGTGACATTGTGGGGGGCTCGGTGCCCCCAGCTCTGGGGTTTTGGGGGGTAGCTGAGCTCTGAGCGGGGCAGGGCTGGAGAGGGAGACCCGGGAGCTGGCACGGAGCTTCCCCGCTAATTACACTTGGCATTTCCAGACACTAATTAACAGCTCATTAGGGAGCTGGCCGGGCAGGCTCTCTCCTCCCTGCTCCGGGAGCTGGGCAGCAGCGGCTGGGGCAGGGGGGGTGACCCCAAACCCTCCCTGTCGCCTGTCCCCAAGGCTGTCCCCAAACCCGATGGCCGCGGCTCCCAGCGGAGCAGATTAACCGGTGCCGGTCAGGAGCAGCTCAAAGGGATTACCGGGGAGCAGCTCCCGCCCCCGGCAGCTCTCCCACCCACCGGCCCCGGGGCTCCCGGTGCCCGGTGCCCGGTGCCCCGGCACTCACTTGGTCTTGCGCAGTTTGCTGTTCTCCGTCTTGAGCAGGTAGAGCTTCTTGGCGAAGAACACGGTGAGCATGAAGAGCAGCAGCACCACGAGCGCGGCCGAGCCCACGGCCACGCACATCACCTGGAAGTCGGTGACGATGGACTCGCAGCGTGTGCCCTTGTGCCACGTGTAGTCCTGCGTGTTGCACCTGCGGGGGGCGCGGTCAGAGGCGTCCCCCTGCCCCAAAACGCGTCCCGCCGCCCCAAAACGCGTCCCACCGCCCCAAAATGTGCCCCCGTCCCACAGAGCATCCTCGGGGGGTGTGGTGTTCGTGCGTGGGGGGGTTACGGGTGTCCCGAGGGGGGTGACCCCGAGTGAGATGGGGACATTGGGCACACCGCCGCCGGGAGTAGGGGGGGTCCCCGCGTCCCCCCGCCCCAAAATGTGCCCCCATCCCACAGAGCATCCTCGGGGGATGCGGTGTTCGTGCGTGGGGGGGTCTGAGCGGGTCCCGAGGGGGGTGACCCCGAGTGAGATGGGAACATTGGGAGCAGGGGGGTCCCCGCGTCCCCCCGAGTGGGCGGGCCCGGTGCCAGCCTCAAGGCACATCCCGGTGCGGGTGGCACAGCCGGTGTCGCCTCCCGGCGCAATCTGCCGGGGCCGATTATCGCCTCGGCTGCGTGGCCCTGACCTAATTCCTGCCCAGCCGCCGCCCGGGGGGCAGGGAGAGCCCCCGACCCCCGGCGGGACGGGCCGCGGGGATGGAGAGCCCCGGAACGGGGGCCGGGGGGGCGGGAAGGCTCCGAATGGAATGAAAAAGGGTGGAAAGAGTGGGAATGGAGTGTCAGGGGGATGGAGAGGCCAGGGATGGAGCACAGAGAATGGAGAGCCCAGGGATGGGGTGCATGGAGGATGGAGAGCCCAGGGATGGGGTGCAGGGGATGGGAACCCCGGGGTGGGGTGCAGGGGATGGAGAGTTTGGAGATGGGGTGCAGGGGATGGAGAACCCCGGGATGGGGTGCAGGGGATGGGAACCCCGGGGTGGAGAACCCCAGGATGGGGTGCAGGGGATGAGAACCCCGGGATGGAGAACCCCGGGATGGAGAACCCCGGGATGGGGTACAGGGGATGGGAAGATTGGGCAAGGGGTGCAGAGGATGAGAACCCCGGGATGGAGAACCCCAGGATGGGGTGCAGGGGATGAGAACCCCGGGATGAGAACCCCGGGATGGGGTGCAGGGGATGAGAACCCCGGGATGGAGCACAGAGAATGGAGAGCCCAGGGATGGGGTGCAGGGGATGGAGAACCCCGGGATGGGGTGCAGGGGATGAAAACCCCGGGATGGGGTGCAGGGGATGAGAACCCCGGGATGGGGTGCAGGGGATGAGAACCCCGGGATGGGGTGCAGGGGATGAGAACCCCGGGATGGGGTGCAGGGGATGAGAACCCCGGGATGGGGTGCGGGGGATGAGAACCCCGGGATGGAAAACCCCGGGATGGAGTGCAGGGGATGAGAACCCCAGGATGGAGAGCCCCGGGATGGAGAACCCCGGGATGGGGTGCAGGGGATGGGAACCCCGGGATGGGGTGCCGGGGATGCTGAGTCAGGGCTGCCGAGCCCCCACCCCCCATCCCGCCGGTCCCCACCCTTACCGGCAGAAGGCCCCGTGGCTCTCCACCAGGTAGCACTGGCCGCCGTTGTGGCAGTAGCTGGGGACGAGGTCGCAGAGGGAGCGGCAGGAGCTGTTGTGCCGCACGTAGCCGCTCCGGCACTCGGAGCCGTTCTCGGCCGGGGATGCCGTGGGGCTGCCCCCGGCCAGCCCGGGCGGTGGCGGTGGGACCGCGGCTCGGTGCCCGGTGGGTCGGGGGTCCCGCGGGACGGGCGCGGCCGAGGCGGGCGGCCGGTAGCCGTTCTCATCCTCCAGTCCCCCATCTTCCTCCTCCTCCTCTTCCTCCTCATCCTCCAGCTCGTCCTCGTCGGCGTAGAAGGAGGTGGTGGGGTAAAAATCGGCGTCCTCGAAGGGTGTGAAATCGTCGTAGAGCTCGTGGAGTGCCCAGGGCGTGGCCGCCCCCTCGGGCTCCCTCCGCCGCACCGGGCCCGCCGCGCCCCGTTCGCCCCCGGGGAAGCCCCCCGGGCCCTCACCGCCCTCGAACAGGTCGTAATAATCGACATCGATGATTTCAGAGCCCGCCCGGTCCGCCGGGGGCTCGGGCGGGCCGGTGGCGGCGGTACCGGGCTCCTGCAGCCACGTCAGGTCGGTCCAGCCGCGGGCTCCCTGCGCCGGGACCGGGCTGGGGGCGGCGGCCCAGAGCTCCGGGGGACCCCCCGAGTCCCCCCCGGGGCTGGGGGCGCCCGGCTCGGGGCTGGGCAGCGCGGCCGGGAGCCCCCCGAAGCCCCCCGGGCCGGGCGGGGAGGCGGGTGTGGGTCGGTCACCGCTGCCCGGTTCCTCGGGGCTACCGAGGGCCACCGGAGCCGTGCCCCCGTCCCCGGGCCAGGTGACAGCTCGGGGGGGCACGGCGCTGGCCTCGCCCTCCCCGCCGCAGCCCGGGCACCCCGAGGGCTCCGTGGTGGCCGTGTCCCCCCCGGGGGGCTCTAACTGCGGTCCTGCCGCCGCCCCCCCGCCGCTGGTGCTGTTGATGGGTCCCCCCGGGGTGTCTCCGCTCGCCAGGTCCCATTTCGGGGCGCTGCTCTCCAACGAGCCCTCCCAGGCTCTCCCCTCGCCAACGCTGGAGTTTTGGGGGGGCCACGCGGATGCTGGTGGGGGGGCAAGGAGAGAAAGAGGGGTCAGAGGTGCCCCCACACCCCTGCGAGGAGGTGGCAGCCTGGGAGGGGTCCCACAGGTCCCCACCTGCTCCACCTTACACCCACAAGGACCTGGGGGCGGGGGGGGGACTGCACCCCGAATCTTTGGGGACTGATGGGGTGAACCCCACAGAACCCCCGAGCTCTGAGACAACTCTGTGACCCCCCCCAACCCAAGTCTTCCCCGGCCCTGCCCCCTCAGCTGCTTTTCAAGGGGCTCCATCCCCCTGCAAAGGGATCCAGCCCCTATTGCGAGGGGAGCCAGCCCTCCCCAAAATAAATCAGCGCCCCTAAAGGGGATCCAGCCCCCACTGCGGGGGGAGCCAGCCCTCCCCAAAATAAATCAGCGCCCCTAAAGGGGATCCAGCCCCTATTGCGAGGGGAGCCAGCCCTCCCCAAAATAAATCGGCGCCCCTTAAAGGGATCCAGGTCCTGGTAAGTGCACCCCATACACACCCCGGGCTGCAGCGCCCTGCAATGGGATCCGGCCCCGCTCCTGCCCCACGGATCGGGCCCCGCGGGGGGATCCGGCCCCACTCCCCGCCCCACGGATCCGTCCCCCGTGGCTGCTGCGGCTGCGGCCGCCGCACACAACGGGCTCAGCCCCTGCGGCGGGATCGGCCCCTCTGCAACGGAATCCGACCCCTTCCGAGGGGCTCAGCCCTCTCTGCCTCCCGCATGTCCATCGGGACACCCACCCCGGGATTCGGGACACCCACACCGGGATTCGGGACACCCACACCGGGATCCAGCCCTCCCCGCACCGGGATCCATCCCTCCTCCGGTGCTCCCCGCGCCCAGAGCCAGATCCCGCCCCTGCAAGGGGATCCAGCTCCCTGCAAGGGTATCCAGCCCCTTTCCAAGGGTATCCAACTCCCCCTGCAATGGAATCCAGCCCCTTCCAAGGGGATCCACCCCCCTCCGGCTCCTGCAAGTGCGCCCCATCATCCCAAGAGGATCCAGCCCCTGCAAGGGAATCCCGGTCCCTCCTGCAAGGGGATCCAGCCCTTCCTCCAAGGGGATCCGGCCCCGGGAGGGGATCCAGCCCTTCCTCCAAGGGGATCCGGCCCCCGGCAAGGGGATCCCTCCCGCCCTACAAGGTGATCCAGCCCCCGGGAGGGGATCCAGCCCTTCCTCCAAAGGGATCCAGCCCCAGGGAGGGGATCCAGCCCTTCCTGCAAGGGGATCCCTCCCGCCCTACAAGGAGATCCAGCCCTTCCCCGGCTCCTGCAGATCCCCCCCACCCCCAGAAAGGCGATCCAGCCCCGCAACAGGATCACAGCATCGCCCCCCCGCACCGGGATCCATCCCCCGCCCGGGGATCCGCCATCCCCGGGGCTGCAGCCCCCGGTGGGGGGATCCAGCCCCGGCCAAGGGGGGATCCCCCCCATCCCCGCACCCCCCCACCCGTGGATCCCCCCCGCGCCGTGTCCCCGGTCCCGGTACGCACCGAGGGCGCCGATCGCCAGCAGCAGGGCGAAGGGGGCGCGGGGGGCGCGGGGGGCCATGGCGGCATGGAGGGACCCCCGCTCCGCCACGGGGCCGCCACCGGCAGCGGCTCCGCCCGCCCCGCTCCGAGCGAGCCGAGCCGAGCCGAGCGGAGCCGCGCCGAGCCGGGGGGCCGGGCCGGGCGGCGGGGGCGGGACCGCGGCGGCGGCGGCGGCTCCGGGCACGGGCACGGGCACGGGCACGGTACCCCCCCGGTACCCCCCCGGTACCCCCCCGGTACACCCCCGGTACACCCCCGGTACCCCGCGGGCACAGCATCGGGGGGACACACCGCCGTACCCCCCAAATCGGGGGGCACACACCGCCGTACCCCCCAAATCGGGGGGCACACACCGCCGTGCCCCCCAAATCGGGGGATGCCCAGCCCGGTACCCCCGGGCATCCCCCGAGGGGCACACCGGCGACACATCCCGGCAGACCCCAACACCGAGGGACACGCACATGGCACCCCCCAGCACGGGGGTCCTCGGGGGGCACATTTTGGCACCCCCAGAACCGGGGGGACACCCCCCGGGAGCCCCCAGCCATCCTCGGGTGGTCCCTGGGGCAGAGGGCACAGAGGGCACAGAGGGCACCGCTGTCCCTGGGAGACATTAGGGACACGTTCGGCACCCCACAGCACAGGGGGACCTATCCTGGAACCCCCCAGCGCTGCTATCCCTGTCTGACCCCCCAAACTGCTCCTGCATGGGGTGGGGACCCCCTCCCAGCGTCCCCAACCGGTGTGGGGGTCCCTGCCCCACATCCCGCAGCGGGCACTGCCCACCCTGCACCAGGATCCTGTATGGTGCACCCCAAATCCTGCACGGGCAGCCTATGGCCTGGATCTCACATCCCATATCCCAAATCTCACATCCCATATCCCAAATCCTGCACGGTGCACCCCAAATCCTGCACGGGCAGCCCATGGCCCAGATCCCACATCCCACATCCCAAATCTCACATCCTGTATCCCAAATCTCACATCCCATATCCCAAATCTCACATCCCATATCCCAAATCTCACATCCCATATCCCAAATCTCACATCCCATATCCCAAATCTCACAGCCCATATCCCAAATCTCACATCCCATGTTCCCAAATCTCACATCCCATATCCCAAATCTCACATCCCATATCCCAAATCTCATATCCCATATCCCAAATCTCACAGCCTGTATCCCAAATCTCACAGCCCGTATCCCAAATCTGACATCCCACATCCCAAATCTCACATCCCATATCCCAAATCTCACATTCTGTATCCCAAATCTCACATCCCATATCCCAAATCTGGCCAGGGGCTGGGCGGGGTCCCAGGGTTTGGGGGGCCTGGCAGCAAGAGGCCGAGGGAAGGAGGGTGGGATCCAGGGATGGGGACGGTGCTGGGATGGAGGGGATGGGATTTGGGAATTGGGATGGGGGGGATGGGATCTGGGAATGGGGATGGAGGGGATGGGATTTGGGAATGGGGATGGAGGGGATGGGATCCGAGGATGGGGACGGTGCTGGGATTGAGGGGATGGGATTTGGGAATAGGGACAGTGCTGGGATGGAGGGGATGGGATTTGGGAATGGGGATGGAGGGGATGGGAACCAGGGATGGGGATGGAGGGGATGGGATCTGGGAATAGGGACAGGCTGGGATGGAGGGGATGGGATTTGGGAATGGGGATGGAGGGGATGGGATTTGGGAACAGGGACAGTGCTGGGATGGAGGCAGGTGGGATATAGGGATGGGGACAGTGCTGGGATGGAGGGGATGGGATTTGGGAATGGGGATGGAGGGGATGGGATTTGGGAATAGGGACAGTGCTGGGATGGAGTCTGGGCACAGCAGCAGCCCATGGAAGCTTCCAGCACCCACAGTAAGTCCCGGGGGCAGGAGGTTGGTGGGTTGGCAGAGACCCCTGGGACCCCCGTGCCAGGCCTGGAGGCACCCAGGGTCACATCTTGGACCCCTCCATGGCCAGAGGCTGCAGCAGCCCCTGGGACAGGCCGGGCTGATGTCCTGGAGCACCAGGTCCTCCCCTGCCAGGGCTGTGTGGCCAGTGGGAGCCCTGGGGTGCCTCATCCAGGGGTGTTCCCCATCCTGGGGGCTCCCCCTCCACCCTCGGGCTCCCCTCGGGGGCTCCAGGCAGTGTCACCCCTGGTTCAGAGCCCCGTGAGGAGGGACTTTGTGCTCCTGGGGACAAGGAGGGGGTGTTGGTGGGACATTCACAGCCCCCCCAGCCCCCCCTGGCTCCGGATCAGGGACCCCCGGTGGGGCAGGAGGAGGGTCTCACCCCTCTCGGGGCAGTGGGTGCTGTGCCAGGCAGGAGCACCCAGTGGGGAGAGCCCAGAGCCCCCCTGTGCCCAGCCCAGGCCCAGGAGCAGCCCAGCCCAGCCCGGCTCAGAGCCACGTCTGCCTTTTCCTGGGGGAATTACTCAGAATATTAAAGATAATTTCAAAGATGGGAATTGCAGGAGCCTTTTGGGGCCCTTCCAGAGCAAATCCGGGAGCCCTGGGGAGGGATTTCACCCCAAACCCTTCCCTGCTGCTTCAGCACAGGGACTGGAGTCTGCCCGAGTTCTGCACCCCAAAGATGGAGCTCTGCACCCCAAGGATTGAGCTCTGACCCCAAAGATGGAGCCCTGCACTCCAAGGATGGAGCCCTGCACCCCAAAGATGGAACTCTGCACCCCAAGGATGGAGCCCTGCACCCCAAAGGTGGAACTCTGCACCCCAAGGATTGAGCTCTGCCCCCAAATATGGAACTCTGCACCCCAGAGATGCAGCCCTGCACCCCAGGGATGGAGCCCTGCACCCCAGGGATGGAGCCCTGCACCCCAGGGATGGAGCTCTGCACCCCAGAGATGGAGCCCTGCACCCCAGGGATGGAGCCCTGCAGCCCAGAGATGGAGCCCTGCACCCCATATATGGAGCTCTGCACCCAAAGATGGAACTCTGCACCCCAAAGATGGAACTCTGCACCCCAAAGATGGAGCCCTGCACCCCAAAGATGGAGCCCTGCACCCCAGAGATGGAGCCCTGCACCCCAAGGATGGAACCCTGCACCCCAAAGATGGAACCCTGCACCCCAAAGATGGAGCCCTGCACCCCAGGGATGGAGCTCTGCACCTCAGGGATGGAGCTCTGCACCCCAAGGATGGAGCTCTGCACCCCAGGATGGAGCCCTGCACCCCAAGGATGGAGCTCTGCACCCCAGGGATGGAGCTCTGCACCTCAGGGATGGAGCTCTGCACCCCAAGGATGGAGCCCTGCACCCCAGGGATGGAGCCCTGCACCCCAAGGATGGAGCTCTGACCCCAGGGATGGAGCCCTGCACCCCAAGGATGGAGCTCTGCACCCCAGGATGGAGCCCTGCACCCCAAAGATGGAGCCCTGCACCCCAGGGATGGAGCCCTGCACCCCACATATGGAGCCCTGCACCCCAAAGATGGAGCTCTGCACCCCAAAGATGGAGCTGTGCACCCCAAGGATGGAGCTCTGCACCCCAAAGATGGAGCTGTGCACCCCAAAGATGGAGCCCTGCACCCCAAAGATGGAGCTCTGCACCCCAGGGATGGAGCCCTGCACCCCAGGGATGGAGCCCTGCAGCCCAGAGATGGAGCCCTGCACCCCAAAGATGGAACCCTGCACCCCAAAGATGGAGCCCTGCACCCCAGAGATGGAGCCCTGCACCCCAAGGATGGAGCCCTGCACCTCAGGGATGGAGCTCTGCACCCCAAAAATGGAGCCCTGCACCCCAAGGATGGAGCTCTGACCCCAAAAATGGAGCCCTGCACCCCAGGGATGGAGCCCTGCACCCCAGGGATGGAGCCCTGCACCCCAAAGATGGAACTCTGCACCCCAAAGATGGAGCCCTGCACCCCAAGGATGGAGCTCTGACCCCAGGGATGGAGCCCTGCACCCCAGGGATGGAGCTCTGACCCCAGGGATGGAGCCCTGAACCCCAAAGATGGAGCCCTGCACCCCAAAGATGGAACTCTGCACCCCAGGGATGGAGCTCTGCACCCCAGGGATGAGGCCCTGCACCCCAGGATGGAGCCCTGCACCCCAGAGATGGAGCCCTGCACCCCAAAGATGGAGCCCTGCACCCCAAGGATTGAGCTCTGCACCCCAAAGATGGAGCTCTGACCCCAAAGATGGAGCTCTGACCCTAGGGATGGAGCCCTGCACCCCAAGGATGGAGCCCTGCACCCCAAAGATGGAGCCCTGCACCCCAGAGATGGAGCCCTGCTCCCCAGAGATGGAACTCTGCACCCCAAGGATTGAGCCCTGCACCCCAGGGATGGAGCTGTGCACCCCAAGGATGGAGCCCTGCACCCCAGGGATGGAGCCCTGCACCCCAGAGATGGAGCCCTGCACCCCAGGGATGGAGCTCTGACCCCAAAGATGGAACTCTGCAACCCAAGGATGGAGCTCTGACCCCAAAGATGGAGCCCTGCACCCCAAAGATGGAGCTCTGCACCCCAGGATGGAGCTCTGCACCCCAAAGATGGAGCTCTGCACCCCAAAGATGGAGCCCTGCACCCCAGGGATGGAGCCCTGCACCCCAAAGATGGAGCTCTGCACCCCAGGGATGGAGCCCTGCACCCCAGGATGGAGCTCTGCACCCCAAAGATGGAGCTCTGCACCCCAAAGATGGAGCTCTGCACCCCAGGGATGGAGCCCTGCACCCCAAAGATGGAGCTCTGCACCCCAGGGATGGAGCCCTGCACCCCAGGGATGGAGCCCTGCACCCCAGGGATGGAGCCCTGCACCCCAGGGATGGAGCCCTGCACCCCAGAGATGGAGCCCTGCACCCCAGGGATGGAGCCCTGCACCCCAGGGATGGAGCTCTGCACCCCAGGGATGGAGCCCTGCACCCCAGGGATGGAGCTCTGCACCCCAGAGATGGAGCCCTGCACCCCAGGGATGGAGCTCTGACCCCCAGGGATGGAACCCTGCACTCCAGAGATGGAGCCGGGTGGGCAACCTCGGTCCTGGCACATGGGCACCACCAGCTCCAGCCCAGGGCTGCAATTCTGGGGGCAAGGCTGGAAGGCTGCTGGCATTGATGTTGTTTTTATCATGCTACAACTTAAAAAATCAGAAAAT